GTGTATTACTCTATAAGAGCTACATCTAAAATAATATCAAGGACAAAACGAAAGGGAAGATGAATAAGTTGATGCTTAGACGTCAAAGGCCCACCCAACACCATTCTTTGTCTAGACGTTTATTCAAATAAAAAACAACATATCTTCCAATTCAAACTTCCATGTCCATTTTTTTGAAAATGTGAAACTCTTGCCATTACACAGCCTACTCCTCCAACTTCGATTTCCCATAAAAAAAAGCCATAAGAGAAAACACTGCCCTGTATTCATCTCCCTTTCCAGGAAAGCTGTTAGCTATTTACAAAACCCGGTCAGTATAGCAAATTTAAAAAGCATGCAAATAGCTGTGTCTTCTAGAATTCCAAAAAAAAAGGTTGTTAATGACCTTCTTAAAGGAAAATTAGCTAAAACTTCTATATAACAAAAGAAAAAAAAAATAACAATCCTAATCAAATATCACAGAAAATTTTCGACAAGGATGAAATATACATTCCATTCTGATGTAAACATAAAATATCAGAGAGTTCCCACTACTGTGACGCTTCTTTCAGATGTCTTATCCCAGAATTAGGAATATCTGAGGAACCTCTTGGTCCACACAAATCTTCAATTTTTGCTGAACGTTGTAGCCGTTTACGTTGTTCAACTCTGAGATATGCTAAAAACGAAAAAATAGTGAATAAACATACGAAATATAATTTTTACTGCATTAAAAATGCACAGCAATCAAGAAAGAACGCAATACTCTTCTTTCCCCTACACAAATAGGTAACTACTGTTCAACTTACAAGTCAATTTTGTTTGTTTTCTCGGCGTACGCGGTGCACGTGTATATTTCGAACTAACTGGGACATGTGAAGGTGCGGCTTCTTCCATTGAACTGTCAGAATCTGACAAATCAGGGCTATGATTTTCAGTATTACTACAGTCTTCCTTTTTATACCGCATATAACGATAAAACAGCGGAACCTGCAAAAAGCGAAAATATTAATGCGTAAGTTAGCATAAAAAAATTAGTCAATTTTCAAATGAATATTCAAAAAGGTTTTCAAACAGTAACAATAACTAACCGACGAAGCCGGAACTGCTGTATAAATGAAGTCCGATGATGCAGACACACATGGAGTATCAGCTTCAAAATCAAAACCCCATTTTGCCATACGACTCTCATTTTCTTCGCGCATCTCTTCTATGCGCTCATTTAACCACTGTTTAGTTCGCTGAGGATTCGGACGACCAAATAAGCATCGCCGAACCGGCGTTCTTGAACTAGACTGTTCCTGTCTTGGAAACATCGTATTTGGGGCGTTGGTGAAGAATCTAATGAGTAAAAATTTACGAGGTTAGACCTGCAAAAAAAAGAAAAAAAAGGAAGTGAATTACGGAAACATGGCATTTGTGATAAAACTGAGAACGAGAAGGGCAACCGACGTAGAAAGCAGCAAAAAAAATTTTTAACCTTTTTATGCCAATTACATATCAGTCAACAAAAGCAGCATCAATATAATAATGAAATTATCAGTGATAAATCAATGAAAACCAAGAAAAAAAAAAA